CAACTGAAGTAGAATATGTTGGCATTAAACTGATTACAGGCTGAACCTACAGGTTTTGTGAATTTGCTTTCTAAATTGACAGTGCTTATTAATTTTTTTAAATACTTAATCTGTCCTTTTTGTTTTTCACTGTTAGATGATACAGAGAGATCAGGGAGTGCTTATTGTGCATGTGTCTTGTTTTTTTATAAAATCTTATGTTGCTTATTTTACACACAATTCAATTTAGTTCTAGTTTGTAAAGGATGCTTAGAGACTGGGGAGATTCTTTTGTGTTAGGGTATAGTTACATGAACACATTTTCAGTAACAAATTTGGTTAAAAATCAGTTCCTGAATTTCTGCCCCAGCTGTTGAATGTCCTTGCTTCTGCTAATGTTATTTGGGTTTGTAACCTGTAAACACAGTTTGCTGAACATAAATCAACAGCAAACCCAGACATTTTAATTTATTTTTAAGATGGATCAGTTAATGTACCCAGTTTACTATCCTGCAGCTAGTTAAACCAACACAAGTGAGAGGTGATGACCTCTGGTTGGAAGGGCAGCCTCTCACATGATTTTTGTTGCCAAGAAAGTGTTTGTGTGTCTGAAATAAACAAACCAGCTCTATTTTTGCATCCTGCTGCAACTTGTCACTGCATCCAAAATGACAAGTAAACTCTGCCAGGGCTACCTTGGTCTTTCATCTTTCTAGCTGAAATTTTAGCAATTTTAATTCCAGTATTTTTGCTTGTTTTCTTTTTGTTTGCATTAGTCACTCAAGGGAGATCTTGCCACGTGTCTGACCTCTACTGAAGTGGTGAAGAAATCCTTTGAATCTCAAAAAAAGAGTCTTACTGCAGAAAATCAGCACTTAAGAGAATCTCTAGAGAAGGAAGAAAAAGCTTTGGCCTCACTTCAGGAAGAATTAAGGAAGCTAAGACAACAAATTAGAAACTTAGAAGATAAAGGTACTAGCACTGAATCTATTGTAATAGAAAATCAGAAACTAAGAGAACATTTGGAAGAGGAAAAGCAAAGAAACCACAACTTTCTTAGGCAAAAGGAAACACTCTTTGCAGAGGCACAGATGTTAAGGAGAGAACTGGACAAAGAACGTCATGTCACAGAAGCTCTCAAAAAAGAACTAGAACAGTTAAGTTCTCATCAAACATCTGACAGTGCTGCTGCTGATGATATGTTAAGAGAGAACGAAGAAATAGAAACTCTGCGAGGAAGACTAGTAGAGCTAGAAAAAAAGCTAAACTTTGAGCAGCAACGTTCTGACTTATGGGAGAAGCTGTATGTTGAAGCAAAAGACCAAAGTGAAAAACAAGAAATTAATGAAAAGGGACAAAAAAAGGGCACTAAAGGGCAAAGTAAGACTAAAAAGAAATCAAAGGAATCATTTTTCGGTTCAGTTAAAGAAACTTTTGATGCTATGAAAAATTCCACAAAAGAGTTTGTAAGACACCATAAAGAGAAGATTAAGCAGGCTAAGGAAGCAGTGAAAGAAAACCTGAAAAAATTTTCTGATTCTGTAAAGTCTACATTCAGACACTTCAAAGATACCACAAAAAACATTTTTGATGAAAAGGAGAAGTCAAATGACAAAAGACATGAGGCAAACAAGAAAGCTCGAACTTTTTACCGTGAACATAACTCTTATGAGAATCTGAAGCACACACATTACAGGGGACCTAGCACAGGAAAAGAATTCAGAGATGGAAGAAGACATCAGTTTACAACGTTTGAAAAAGATACAGATTCACAGAAATGCTTCAATGATCCTTTGTGTAATAGAAAACATCCGTTTGTCCTAAAGGGCTGCTCTGGTATTTTTGAATGTGCTCATCAAGAATTCATTAGTCTCTTTAACAGAGTATCAGATCCTATCAGGGTGGATGAATTTAATCGGCTAATGAGAAAGTATTTGCAACAAGTTGTACGTGACTTTCATCACTGGAGAGAATTAGAAAATTTCATTGATAAATTTTTTCGTAATGGAGTATTTATACATGACCAGATGCTGTTCACTGATTTTGTTAATGATGTCAAGGATTACCTGGAAGATATGAAGGAATACCAAAATAATAATGAAAAGGTTTTTGAGGATTTGGACAAGTACATCTACAGATACTACTTTCATTATGATAATTCACCGCAATATGGACCCAGGTTTGTTTCCGTGTTTCCTGAACATTTTAACACAATGAAGTAGTCTTTTTAAAGACAACTATAGTCCTAATGGGTGGTCATCTACCATGCATGTATGTACCTGTGTATTTGTACATGCAGACAGGTAGACTTTCTGAAGGACTCAGTGGAAGTGCTAGGTTGTCTAATATAAAGTGGATCTGTTATAAATTATATGTGCACATTCTGTGTGTGTGGTGCTAGTTTAAGAAGCATTACAGATCCACTGCACATAGCACTATCTAATATTTCTGCTGAGTTCTTTAGAAAATTGTGTAAGTAGGATTACTTGGGACTGAACACCTGTGATTGCCTTTCTGATGGAATGAACAACTAGCTCAGAAGAAGCAATAACTCGGATTGTTGCCCTTCCCTGAATAAGAAAGTTGTTGGTTATACTTAAGCAGCCTCAAAGTCCTGTTCCAGCAGGTGTATTTATTTCCTGCTGGCCTTTCAGGAATGTCACTGTCTTGTAGTTTAGGATAATACTGAGTTAGTCTGTATGCCCAGGGCAGAGCTTCTCAAAAGGCAGGCTGTAGTTCCAATCCTGAGCCTGGCTACATTTTTTTCAGACTTGCTTACAAGGTCCTTGGGATAAAGGTCCTACCATACTTTCCTGGGTCTCATGGTGTTCTCAGGGCTTATAGAGGGCAGTTGTGGTATTGCTCCTGGATGGCATATGGTGGGCCATTTCTATTGTAGAGGCTTTTGTGAAAGAAAATTAAGCAGTCTTAATATATAATGTAAGTTTGCTATATAGTCTCTTGTACTAAGGCTTATTCTCCATCAGGTAAGAAAAAATGTGATATATTAACTAATTTCTAATACACAAGAAGTTGTCCTTGGAGATGTAACAGAACTTTTCCCTGTGCTGGTTTCAGTGCAAAGCACATTTTGTATTTAGATCAAGGTGCAGTTCTTCAGTCAGGTTTCTCTTTTGGACTTACATTTTTTTATTATTTTGTGTTTTATTGCAGCAGCAAGTCTGAATACTTGGGGTTACTAAATACTATTTGAGGTGGTACTTTCTCTTACAAAGTTGAACCATGAGGATGATACTCCTCATGGAGTATTATCGCCTACTAAACTGTTTTTTTAATGTGTAGTTTTGGGAAACACTTAACTTTTATGTTTTTATTTATGGTCCCAGTACTTCTTACTAATTTATTACTAAAATTAACTTTAATTTTTAATACTTAATTGTTGAGCACTTTAATTCCATTTGCAGAAAAGCACAACTTCAGATCCATTTACTGATAGTATTGTACAGAAGTTTGTATGAGACTGAGGATGAAAATAGCCTTAGCTTTGCAGGATAGAGACACAAGTCATGTAACAGCATGTAGTGTAATGGGACTGTTTGTATCAAAAACTGCAACAGGTGAGCAACAGGTCAGTGCCCCCTCTGTCTGTATAAATGTACTGACTGTACGTGAAAACTCTGAAGTGCCTATGTTGACACAAAGTATGCTTTCCCTAAGGGTATGTACACTTTTCACTGTTTTTATAGAGCAGAATGTAACAGAATAACTGAAAAATAGATTGAGGCCTCATTAATCTGTCACAGTAGGGATAATTAAACAGCTGTTTACCTGGCTTTATTCTAAAAAGAACTTCAGGCAACTAGCTGCAGGGCATTTTTATTTTTAGAAAGGATTTCTTTTAAATATACCATCTTACTGATGAATTAAACAAATACCCCACCATTTTGCTTGCAAGAGAAAGGACTACTACTTAATACCAATTTTGTTCTTTTCAGTCAACTGTAGCATGCTAAAAGCTGTTCTTGACAATGTAGTTGTTTCAAAATGCTTTTAGAGAGATGCTTTATGAGAAGTAATGAGCTTTTGTTTACTCCTTGCAGTCGACCTAAAAGGCCACCTTTCACACAAACTGAAAATTCCAGACATGAAAAACAAGCTCAGAAGTACCACCACCGTAATAAAAGAGAAGGTAAATGGCATAAACATGGTCGCACTAATGGAAGACACATGGCAAATCTTGAAGTAGAACTAGGCCAGTTGCCCTTTGATCCAAAATATCGAGTAATTTATGGTTAATATAAGATTAGAATTAATAATTCATATGCTCTCTGAAAACTAATTGTTTTCCAACAAAGCAGCAAGATGCAAGTTTTTCCTCTGATTTGATTTTTACACATTTTTACTAAAACGCAGAAGTCAAGCTTTCTAATTTGCATATTCTGTACTGTTGCTTTAACTGTTCTTTGGAAGTGATGATAGTTTGGGTGCCAGCAGTATTATTGCAGAAACTGGGCATGCAATGACTTGTGTGTGAAAAATATGCTTAATTGCATTCCATTAGTGTAGTTCAAGCTAGAGTCAGGCATAATGTACCAATAATTAATTCCAGTGTTTGATATACTAACTTCATCTCAGCCTTCAAAAAATAGCTCTACATTATGGTAATGTTTGTTAGTGTTTTGTAATCTTATACTTGCTTCTTGTCTTTGGGGGGGGGGGGTTTTCAAAAGCCTGTTGAATTGTGAAGAATTTGCTGTGCTTCATTCTAATCAGCTTGCTGATTTGAGCACTTGAAATGTCTTGCATATCTGCATATTGTAGAAGAAAAATAAAGAGCCACTGTGGGTAAAAGTCTTTATTTACAAAACAAACCTAGCATAGCTGTACAGTTCTATAAAAATGGTCCAGTCTTGTCTAATTTCTTAAGTAGTTGTAATTTTTTTTTCTTCCTGATATTTTCTAGTGCTGTAAGGTAGGCGAACACCCCCACCCTGCCTTGGGGCCACTGAGGCTGCCCTCAGGAGAGGTTAGTTAGTGTGTTCCACAGCCAGTGGCTGGCTAATCAGACTTCCCCATTCGACTTACCCGGTTTCAGACTCTCTACTATCTCCTTTCTGCAGTACAAGGTCTTCTAAGCATAGTAGTGCTATGCAAAACTGATCTCATTAGGTCTTAAGTCTAGAAACTGATCTTCAGGTATGATTTAATTTCAGGTTTTTTTCCTGTAGACATAGATGTGGCTTCCAACTCGTCCTTGAGGTAGATGAGTGTGAAAGACTGTGGCTGTATTCTCATAGCCCCTTAAAGCTAGAAATGATGATATTTCCTGTAAGTGAACATACATTAGTTTCCACAGTCAGAAAGTGTAGTTGGGAGGATCAGAACAGTTCCAAAGTCTTCTGAAAACTATCAGTTCAACTGTCCCCTGGAAGCTTTATCCTTTATTCTAGGAAAGACTGCTAGAAAAAGAGGTACCTCTCCTGTTTGATCCTGTCCGGAGTCGATATTCACCAGACACTCTTGTTTGAATACGTGGACTTCATAACAGAACTGAAATGGCACTCTGCAGGCACTTTTGCTTGTCACTGTTGCTTACTTAGAAGTGTATGGTTCCAGGGACAGACTGCACATTTGTTTTAATATGGCTTAAGGTGAATTTACTTTATGACATGTAGAATTCACACAGAGGCATAAATGAATCCTAAGCGCGTATGACTGGCATGGTATCTATACTGAGTTACTGACTAGGGGGGTTCAACTTTCAGTTCAGCTGCATTAAAAAAAGTTATGGACAACGCTTTAAAAAATTCGGTTTGTGTCATCATGCAGTTACCATACCTGTTCTAGCACATTGAAGAAGATCAAGTGACTGGGTAATAATGTGTCATTGTAAAATTCCTTATTAAGCCACCCAAGAGGATCAGAGTAAAATAGATCTGCTTCATCAGTGTAGCTCTCATTTCCCATTAGGTCTGGGGGACACTGAAGGAATCTCATTTTTAGAGGACAGTGAACATGGCTAGGGAGAAAACCAAAACAAACACATCAGGATAAACTGACTCCTATCTAAGATTTGTAATTGACTCAATACTCAAAAGATACCTCAGTCAAAACTAAATTTGAATAATCCCCCCCGTCATGTTTTCTTCCCTTCTATACTTGATAGGAAAGCAAAAGTAGAACAAGTAGTTTTGGCTCCAAACTGCTGTGACTATTTTGTTAGCAGTTCACAGAAAGCAGATTTATCTTAATAAAAATACCATCAGCATAACACCAGTTTCTTAAAAAGATAATTGTCCGTATCAGTGTCACAGTTTATATCTGCTTTAATGTTGTGTTTACTGGCCACAATCTATTGCAAACTTTTTGGAATAGTGACTTTACTGTATGTTTTAATTACATTTCTTTACTCTCTAGCAGCATAAGTAAAGGTAAAAATAATCCCTTTAGACTGTAAGAGTTACTTTTTAGTTTTGCTACAGAAGTTACCATAATGAAGAATTACTTTCAGAAGTCGCAAGACTTCTTGCTGCATATCCTCATACAAAACTGTTTTACAAAAAAACTGAATAAAGTTTAGAGGCTGAATTTTATTCTGTGGTTTAAGCATTTGGCTTATTTCCCCATCTCATTCTATATTAACAGCATGAAAAATCTAAACTCTTCCTATATACATCTACCCATCTCAATTTATTAAGCCTAGAAAAAAAAATATTTTTTGTTGAATTGTATGGATTTTAACTTAGTACACTGTTAACTATGTTAATACCTGTAAAATGGAGTAGAGTGACATGGCATCATGATGAAGACAAAAGCTTGTGACTGATGGGAGTTACTACAGAGCTGCTGTATGTGGCTCATAACATCCAGAGAGCCTCGCTGGTGAATCAAGCCTGTGTACAGGGCTGGCAGCAAGTTTGATACAAGCAGGAAACTTGCTGCAGATTTCTTCCATGCCTTCAGGTGCTTCAAAGAATACCCTAGAAAAACGTGAGTAAAATTTGGAGATAAACAAATACTAATAGTCCCACACAGAATTTTTGAAAGTACTGTAACTCAACTGGAAAATCATTACTCAGTTGATAACAGTACCTTACTTTGAGGTATTTTAATACAGTGTTCTTTCAGTCTTTGCTCTTCAAATGGAAATTGAAAGGTTAGACTTCGCCCTTATTTACTTTTGGATTTAACAGTGTAAATGTTAAACCCAGGCCTGTCTTTTGAAGGACAGAAGTAGGATTTCAAAGCCAGTGCTTTATATCTTTAGAGCTTAATTTTAATTTCTTGTGGGGAAAAAATGGTCTGTTCAGTAGCCTGGATGAATGGTATGTGGTGAGTTACCGATGTGTTCTGATTCACACATGTCCAAGTGGAGCCAGAATAAATGGTAACCACAAGTGCTTTGGTATGGCTGTGATATTCTTTTTCTCCAACATGCTGAAAGTTACAGCATCCCCTTATTGTTATTAATTTTTGAGCTACTATCCATGGAAAAGCATACTCCTCCCATCTTTTCTCATCTCTGATCCTTGCTTTTCTTGAAGGGGCTAGTAATAGCAAGACATTTCTCCTGCTGGGAGATAGCTGTATAAACCTGTTTCTCACAACCACAACTTATATTAACCTGGCACTGAAGACAGCTTCATGTTGCAAACAGTCTGTAAACCCTTAATAAGTTATGTACTTGTCAGTTTTAGGAGAGAAAAATTCTTTATCTAGCCTTGCTCTGCGACCACCTTCACTGGGTCAGATGAAACAAGTTAGAATAGGCCTGTTTCAGAAGTCAGTAACAAGTAAGTTAAATTAGTCTTCAGGTGGCTTGTTCTGACAGATTGCACATATTTATGACTGATGAAAACAAGGTCCACTAATTAGTCTGTGGTTTAAACACAACTGGAAACATTCTATGACAGGCATTTCTTTTTACTGATTTTGTGAAATGCTTTTAGCTTATCTTTCAAGGTGCTTGGGAATTACTTTGAAACTCATATGTGGTTTTTGTTTGGGGTTTTTTTCTGCTTTTGTTTGCAATATTTGGAGCAATGTAAAGACCTCTTTGTAACCACTGAGTTACCACAAAAAAGTTTTACTTTTTTTTCCTTTACTAAAGTATTAAACCAGATGATAATTAACTTTTGATAAATTGATATTATCTCATTCCCTCATATACATGAAAGTTAGGAGGGATATTGAGAGACAATAGTGGTCTTACTGTTATTTTTCTGCCCATGAGGTAGAACTGGTTCATCTTAAATCTGCTATTGAACTGAACATTGAACTAAAGCAAGACATACTACGTATTTTATCTCAGTAAAGAGAAAAACTGTTGAAATAAGATTTACTTTTGTTTAGACTAGCAGAACAGGTTAAAGAAAATTGCAATTTTCATTGATTCATCTGTTTTAACTTGTATTTAAACTAAAGCGATACAGCTTCATGCTTCAGAAGTTTTCATCTTTCCTTTGTAACTTTTCAGCATACTGGACTTTATTTACATAATTATTTTACTTTTCCTATAGATACACTAGTGTAGCCAATACCTAGTTTTGTAAAAGATAAAATACTTCTTTATTAGGCTCTTTTCCGTGTTTATAAGAAAAAACAAACTGGGGAAAAAAGGTAAATTAATACTTCCAAGTTTTTTTTAAGGTACCAGAAACATTTTAGTCAGCAAAAGCAGTATACTTTCCAGGTTAAACTGTGGACAGATTATCCTGAGTTGATTTTTAAGATAACCACATGAGTTTAGGGACTTTAATCCATTTTTAACAAATTCACCTTACTATGCCTGAAGGAAAAAGCTATCACATAAACTGCTCTAAAACTTCTCTGGGAAGTGCTCTCCAGCTGATAGTTGGTCAAGAGCAGACAGAAAGCTAGCATCATCTACTAACATTCCTTAATCTAGAAAAGGATAATTTGAGGTTTTGGATACTTCAGGTTTTTTTGTTGCATGCTCAAAGGCATTTCTCAGGCATATTTGAGAGATGGAGGTGGACAGATACTACAAAGGAGCCAAGGAACAAAATTCACTGTAAAGGTGGCATTGCTAAAAGTAAGGAGTCATTGAGGCAGTTATCTTTTTTACAGGAAGTACTTTTATCCATGCTAAGGATTCTCCATCTGTATTTTAAGTAATTTGCTGTTTCTCATACTTATTTTTTTTCCCCCTAGCTGTAAGAAAAGGTGAGGCCACTTCTAAGAATCCTTTGTCAAATACCTACATTGACTATTAGCAGTCTCTCTTTTAAGTAAAAAATTATACCCAGGGAGGGTTGCAAGACATTTGAAATCGATGCTTACCACAAAAAACCATGCAAAATGGCAATACTGGATAGATGAACCTGAATTCTTTATGGCTCAGCATGCTGTAATAAAATTGAAGTGCATCAGTTCTATTGACAAAATATGTTTTAGAGCATGGAGGCCTGTAAGAAAAGCACCTGCATGTACTAAAAAGCTTTTAGCGTTTAAGCAGTTTAGAGTAAAAATGCAAATTGTCACTTTTTAAGAATATAAGTACATTCAAATTAAGATTATAAATTTAAACCAAGCTCTAATAAAAGTACCTGGCTACTAATCTAGCATTTAAGTGGTCTGATTCTATGACTAATAAATGTAATTTAGGTCATACTTCATCAATTTGTGTTCTGTAATAAAACACAATAAAAAGTGTGGGTGGCAAGCTAACATTCAAGTACACATTTGTATCTAACAATGTAACAGTCACCTCTGCTAATACAGCTTCACATAATTTCCCATGCCAACTTTTGAGGCATTTTTACTACAAGACTTGTCATGGGCACCAAACAGGTTCCTATAGGACTAAGGAAGAGAAAAAAGGCTTAAAACCAATAGAGCTACATCCAGTTTTGAGTTGGACTGAATGAATGGATGGTATTTGTGGTCTTGCTGCTGTTTTGCTGTATTCTGTTACTACTGTAGTCCAATATAATGTATTACTTAGTATTTATTAATTTGCTGTGCCACTTCTTGCCTGAAAGTGTCTCCTGTTTAATCTACCATTAATTCTGATGCTTTAGAAACTATTTATCCTCTCTTCCACTTCTTGACTTAAAAAGGAGACATGTAGTTCTATGAAAAATGTTAAAAAGCTGAACATAGACTTGTGAATGGTGCAAGTTTTAGATGCTTTAACAGTCTATTTTCTTACTGGGGATGTATTAAAGAACCAAACGAAATGGTTTCTTCATTAACAGACATCTAGTAAACAGTTTTCTACCTATTATTGCTTAATCACCTGTTAAGTGATTGGTTTTTTTCATTTTCTGTTGAACTTCGTGCTGAACAACTTTGTTCTTTAAGGGTCTAATCAATTTGAAAAATACGTGTTTGGTAACAATGCAAGAAGTATTACTTAAAATTATAGAAACTCATGTAAAATGACTGTATTTCTTGGATCTGAATAGTTTTAAGGTTTCTATCACTTAACACTATCCTGCTTTGTTATAAAGAAGAACATAAGCTTTGAAAAGAACACAGCCAGTGAAAGATAGCAGTTACACTTAGGAGCAGTTACCTGTACACCAGCACTGTCCAAATCACTGTCACTAGAAAGATGCGATACCTTTTTGGTGCCAGCACGCAGCCATGAATAAAGAAAGGCAGATGGGTACCCAAGATCACTGGTAGTCCCTGAGTGAAGTACCAGTGCCAAGGATGAGATCCATAAAATGTCCCCAAATTTTGCAGCACGTTGAATTTCAAGAAGTTCAGCTGAACCAGTACCCACTGGGACATTCAGGGGAGGGAGGAGAAAAAGTTAAATACAATTGCAAAGTGAAAACAGCTAAATTGAATGACTGGCCTTAAATGATACATCATCTTCATTCATTCTTATGTTTTTTCAGACTTCTCCCAGACTTACTATATTTAGCAATTAAACACAGAAGTGTGCAAGTACTGTCATTTGTTCATAACTATAGATTTATTGAGAGCTGAGCATACTGATTTTAAGTAACAATCTGTAATTTAAAATAACTGAGAAGTCAGTGTTGAAGGGTTTATAGCTTAGGACCTATTTAGAGATCATAGGCTGGACAGAGTCACAGAAATAACAGCATTTGGCGAAGTCTGAAACATCCATGCATGTTGAAATGCTAAAACCCAATCTTCTTCTCATACGTCAAGTTTAAAGCAACTTACCTCACCAAAAAACACACGGTCAGTTATTAAAGAGGTTCCTACTGTGACCAATCTGCAAAAATGGAAAGTTGGTTGCACTGATATTGCCTGCATTGCTTTTGCATCAGATGCTGTTCTTCTCCAAACAGCTGTCAAAACTCCCTAAATAGGTAGTCCTATTCTTTTTTGAGATGATCCATATTCATGGCTATTCTACAGGGGCCAGTTGCCATCACCTGGTATCCTTGGCACAATCCCAGATTAAGATGGAATGCTGTTCATCTCTCATCCTCATGAAATCTTAGTGCTTTTTTGCTACATGTTAAAGGAAGCATGCCCATGCTTTAAACTTTGTAAAAGGACCCTTATTTTGTCCTTGTTTTTTACATAAAATAGCTTTTTTGGCTTTTCTGCCTTTCCAGTGGTAAAATAAATCTTGAGATATCGCTATGAACTGTCATAGTTCAAACTCAGAAAGAACTTACCCAATTGGAATGCAGTGGTGTAGGATAAGGTTTGTTTTCCTCTGCTCTTGCAAAAAGTGACTAAAGAATAAAGGTATCCATGGGATAACAGCGGTGGGACGAACAACAACTGCAAGTGCTATCAAAGCTAAATATTTGCAGCTAGAATGAGGGAACATAAGAAAAACAGTTTATGAAAAGGTCTGGTCGGTTACTTTGCAGACAGTGACATATCTGACCTTTTTGTACTGCGAATAATTTGATCCTCAGTGCAGATGCTATTTTGCCTGGAAAGCTGCCAACTATAGAACTGCTTTATTAGCAGTGGAGTTGCTAACTAGAAGCACATACTTGCTTTACAATATATAGCTGGTAAAGAAAGTTGTAACTGCAAATTAACTTATGTCTGAAGCCAGATAAGCTTTTATTATCTTTTCCTAGTTGACCACAAATTCCAGTCCTTTAAAGTTTAAATTCAGTTTCCCATAAAGTGATAATTTGCATAAGGGAACTGGAGAATAGTAATTTTATCTATCAGCTATATCATGGCTTAAAAAAAATAAATTAGAGGAAATAACCACAATGCTGTTCCTTCCAAGATCTGGAGCTCTTTATACATGAATGAGGTGGTTTTGGTTGCCTTTTATTTTAAGGTAAAAGTTAGTATTTTTACCCATATCAGTAGATTGGTGTTATCCCAAGCCAAAAAATAACATGTACTGTTAGTAGAAAGTTTCTCACCTGCTCCCCATCTTGGAGCCTTTTATCGGATAGTAGGAAAGAGCAAAAATGGTAAGAAGAGTTTCCATGGTGTTTGTTAGAGTTCTGGTACAGGAATACCATGTAAACCAGGAACACAGCTGGCAGAAGTACTGAAAATAATGATGAAGAACAGGATGCACAGAGAGAAAAGTTAAAGCAAATTCGGTAGTTTTAAATGAAGGTGATAATTATTCGGTGTGTAACTTACTATCATTTTACTGTTGTTTACACTGCAATAGTGTTTATTAATGTGCATAATTTTTTAAAGGCTGAGACTTACCACACACTTTGCTGTTTCTGCATTTTCAAGGTGTTGCACTAATGAGTAAAGCTTCACATCAGCAAAAGCTGCCAGCACTGCCTGTGCAAGTCTAGGGACCCATATCTATGTAAGTAGAGAGAAAATTTTACTTGAAACAAGCCTGTTATATTTCAAATTCCCAGAGAGGACTGCTGAATTAGTGACTTTAGACGTAAAAAAGTAAGCCAATTAGTGAATATTCTCTATAGCTTTTTAAGATAAGGTTCTTTAGTAAGTCTAATATTTTTGCCAAAACAAAGACTCTGAAGTTCAACTGAAAGTTTTCAGAAATTGGAAGTAGAATTCTTTACTATTTATCTCCAAGAGAAGTCAAAAGGGGCTGTTGCTACTGAGTTCAGTACAAATATATATTATTAAACACTTCAGAGAGCTGACCCACTGAGCAATTATGATATAGAGGCAAACACTATCAGTATGAAACTCAAGATTGATGGAGGCCAAGAATAATCCTCCACAGCCATGGGCATCAGTACAAGATTTGGACAGACTGGAGAGCTGGGCAAACAGGAACCTAATGAGGTTCAAAAAGAATAAATGCAGAGGAGTAACACCTGGGGAGGAATAACACCTTGCACTTCACAGATTAGGAGCTGACCTTCTAGAAGCAGTTTCATGGAGAATGACCTTGCACTCCTGGTGAATAACATGTTATCCATGGGTCAGCAATGTGCCCTTGTGGCCAAGAAGGCAAGTGGTATCCTGGGGTGCAGTAAGAAGAGCATGTCCAACAGGTTGAGGGAGGGTCTCCTCCCCATCTACTCTGCCCTATTGAGACCCCACCTGGAGTATTGTGTCCAGTTCTAGGCTCCCCCCTTCAAGAGGGACAGGGATTTACTTGAGAGAGACCAACAGAAGCTAGGAAGATGGTTAAGTGGGTGTCAAGAAGGAGGGACCAGTCTCTTTTCAGTCATTCCCTGTCATAGGACAAGGGGCAGTGGATGCAAACTAGAGCACAGGAAATTCCATCTCAACATGAGGAAAAACTACTGTAGGTTACAGAGCACTGGAACAGGCTGCTCAGAGAGTCTGTGGAGTCTCCTACTCTGGAGACTTTCAAGACCTGCCTGGCTGTGTTTCTGAGTGACGTGCCCTAGGTGCTCCTGCTCGAGCAAGGGGAAGATCTCCAGAGGTCCCTTTCAACCTGCAACATTCTGTGATGCTGTGATACTGTGACTGGGACCTGTGAGTGAGTCCTGCACCCACGCACAATGCTCAGTGAGGCCTCTGCCCGTACAGCTCCAATTGCCAAAGTCAAGGCTTTGAGTTCTACCTGGACAATGACTGAAATCACTGCATTTAAATACAATGCTTTTAAACTGAATGTTAGCACCAGAAATGTTCTTTGATTATACTCACCAGCAGCTGAACATCATCCTTACCCAGCAGCTGTAAAGCTTTGTAGATGCTTGCAAAGATCAGGGGGTAGGAATAGCCCCGCAGGCCGTGTGCCCATTCCCAGGTCAGGTAGCCATAAGTATTAACATTAAGGATAGATCATGAACAACTGAAACAAAGTTACGGCCCCGCTTCCGATCCTTAACCGGGCGGGGACGGCGGGGCCAGGGCCGCCAGGGCCAAGGATATCGGAAGACCATGCGATGTGCCACCTCCAGCGACTGCCAGTACTCGTCCGGGACGAAGCTGCTCTGCACCAGGAAGCAGTTGAGCGCCCGCAGCGCCACGCTCAGCGCCAGCGGCGGGGC